CTGCGACAACCAACTGGATTTTTTTATTTTTATGTCAGAGAATTTGATCAATTGTTAGAAATACAACAAGAATGTTTTTATTGTCTACTCTAGATTTAAGTCTGTCAGCAGAAAAATAATAGCAACAATTTTCATTATCACTTAAAGGGGAGTTCTACTAGTTGCATACATGAGTCTGTTTACAGATCTTCGGGAATACTACTGCATATCTAAGAAAAGCCTTTTTTGGCTCCAGACGGAGCTGTGCAAAATCTGATTAATTGATAATAAAAATGGGGCTGTGGAGGTAGAAAGAGGTAAGATTACCAGACCTTGCTCCTCATGCTTGAGGTTAGCGGCTTGGGACTACATTATCCACTACTTGCATAAGACACCTGAATCTCTGACTCAAATATCAGCAGTCAAAGAAGAAGAATGCATGGAATAAAAAAAGACTATCCTTGGTTCTACTGCACTGATTTTTATTAATTAATTTAAAAGAAAAAGTCCATTGAGGGTGCTATCTAGCGGTCTGTGGCCCTTTGCTCGTCCCCTCTCTCTCCCTAATTTCCTGTTTCTCTCTTTCCTATTCAGAATAAAGGCAACAATGCCCTAAAAATATCTTTAAAAATGTTTTGTTACAGCAGTGCAATACTTAATGGGTAATTGTTCATTAAAAGTAATTTTTCCTCAAGGGCACCTTAGTGGTGGTAAATGAGGGATTTTCTCCTACCAGTGCAGGGATTGAACCGGCGACCTCCTAGTCACAGGCTTGCTTCTCTAAACTTTGGGCCACCATATTGTGACTAAACTGAATATCTTTGGGTTTGTTGGAAAAATTTGAGGACCAAATGATTAACCAGTTAATTAAGAAAATAATCTGTAGATTCACAGATATAAAGTCTGTCACAGCGATGATACATTTTTGATGTAGTACACGTTTTAATATACACATCAGAATTTGAGTGACCTTTGATAACTCTTGGGGATATGTATGTAAATGTCCCCAAATATGGCTAGCTGAATGTAACATTAAATCAGTTTAGAACAGGGGGAAAAAAACATTAAAAACCCCTACAACTATTGGGAACATAAAGTATAGAGTAAAGAAAACACATTTTAATGTAGCTAGTAGGTTTGTGCCTAAATCCAATTACATTAAGGGAAATAATCTGCTTATTTTAAGGGTTGTAGGTTTGTGCTTTGGGACATACTCCCAGACATGAAGAGTTTTCTCTTAAGAGAAGCTGGGCTGGACTATTTATTTAGCCTATTAGGAAACTGTCTGTTGCTCCTGCTCCACCTGGAATATTAATCTATTCATCCACCTAAAAGTATATTCTCTTCCAGACCCCTTCCAGATTATTGTGCAGTGTGACAAGATCATGCTTGTGTCACCTAAATAGCAAAAATAAGTTGGACAGACCCTCATGTGGTTGTGTCCAGAGACTGCGCTCAGGCAATAGCTGGTGTCATGAGTGCTGCACAGCTCAACACTTTGTAGGTGGTGTTGTTTTTTCTCCCTAGCCGAAAAATATGACATTACTGTAACTATTAGGTGTTAGCAGACCAACATATTGTTGTTGACTAATACTTCTTATATCAACAGTCCTGTTAGACTGCGCGTAATTTCATTGTTTGAACCACGGCCCTTTAATTTGCTGTAATTCCCATACATTTGAAGTCTGTTTTTCCATTTGTAGCATACAGGTTTGTGGAAAAGCGTCATTACTCTCTGCTGTATTGCTTATGCAGAAAGTCTGGCAGCAGAAAGTGCACCAGCACAAAACAACAGATTACTAAAGGGCAGAATGGATCAGATTGTTGCATAAATATCAAAACAAAAGCATGATAGATAGATGGATGGATAGATGAGAAATGCACAAAAATCACAGTAAAACCAAAGACAGACTGGTGAAGAACCATGCAGAGAAAGGCTCCATCTGTCCTTGTCTAATAGTGAATGGGGAAGAGACTCAGCTGAATGAAGGCAGCTATTAAAATCCCTTGTAAACACATTATAGGCCTGGTCTTGTCCAATATATAGAACGAGACATAACAGTGATATAGAGGCTGGGCGCATCCATAAATGCATGAAGCCAATCTCATGTCAGCGTCTGTTGGCAAGTATCTGTACATCCTGATGTGCAGTAGTTACACAGAAGAATAAGGGCTGAACAGAGTGCAGCGTAAACATGTAATCCACCAAAAAAGATGTCTTTAGGCCATTTGCCAGGACAAATTTATTTTAACACTGTAGGTTACATGTGGTGTGTTAACGCAATAGATGTGACATGCATCTTTGTTCATAGTTGAACAGTTCCAAGTGTAAATGCAGAATGAATTAAGGATGTATTGTAATCTGGAGTTCAGGGGAAAATGTTGCCACCTTCATCACAATTCATTAGATTCACACACTCAAAGAGGTAAAAGAGGTATTTAAACTCTTGTATGTGGAACCAACCATGAAGCAAACAATATGATAAAACAAAATGTATGTTCTTCCAGTGAGGGACGGAAAAATTTAATTTCACCGTGTATGTTGGAGATACAAACAAAACTGGGGTGTATCAAATCTAGTTCCAATCCTGTTACAAGATACATACTCTTTCTTTATTCAGACTTTCACCATTTTTACCAGAAAATTAGAGTTTTTACCGATATGTACTTGGATTTTGTGTCAAGGTGTCTCCAAATGTTTTTGTTTACCATTGCAAGATGATACAGTTCATGGTAGTTGCAGTAAATGAGCTTCCCTTGTGACAATTAATACTCTAAAATGCCTTTGTTTAAAGATAGCGATGAGAACATTTGGGAAGAAAAAGCAAATTATCTGCTGATGAGTCCCTCTAAACATGTAACTTAAGAAATAAACGGGTCAGCTAAACATTAATGCTGCAAATGGTGTTTTTATGTTATTGATTAAAATTATTAACTGAAAATACTGCGATAGATATTAATGCCAAAAAGCAATGACATTTGAATTAATAATGTTGACCTTTCATTGCAATGCTGTGATCACATCAGTTATGTAGACATTTTAATGAAAAATGCAAAGGTACATCATCCATCTAATAATTGTCAAAATCATATCATTATATCTGAGATCTGCCAGGGACAAAAATCACATCAGTCACTCTCTCACACAAACACACAGGACAACAAACTCATAATAAAGGAAAACACATGTTTTGAGGTAAACGAGTTTGATATTGTGTCTCACCCCCCTGTGAGTGATCAATGAAGCTCACAGGGCCTGAGAGAGAAGGAATTACTTGCCGTCATCCAGATATATTGTATTCCATTGGAAAACAGAGACATGCAGAAACAGGTGTAAATTAGGAGGTGAAATGAATTACACATTAGTATTGGACTGGTGTCTTCCAAGCCCTCTTCAGGATTACTGTATAAACAAGCATACACATATTGCCCTTATTTTCTCATTTGCTCATAATTTGTTGGGGTTGGCAAATAACTAAAATTATTGTTGTGACCATTACTCAAGGATGTGACTTCACTTATTGCTCTATTCTGTGCCAATCTATTGAGTCTCTTTAGGGAACAGAATGATGAGAAAAGGTGACAATTAAATTACTTAGAGATCAGAATACAAGCTCAAAACCATTAGGCAGATTTGGATGGTTTGCATTAGAGCCCAGACTTTTTTATATTTTGATGAGTCATATTCGTGTGTGTGTGCGTGTGTAGACAGTCTGCCCACATTAGTAAGATCTAGAAACTCACTCCAGCATCTCAGGAGAGAAATATTTTATTTCAGAGGATTTATAGGGCCTCTTTAGTTCTTTCTTTGTTGTTCATTATACCATATCTTCTGGCTGTCACGTTTTAAGGAAGTGTTTTTGGACATTTCTGGTAGGGAATTGTTAACTCTGTCTAATGCCTAAGTTCATTTTAGGTATTTTCATGAGACAGTTAATGGTTTCTTGTAACAAGGCAACCACTCAATTAAGTCAAATGTAGTTGCAAGGTTACATACACTGTTTCAGAGAAATAAACAATCTGAGTGTCAGAAGGTCATTTGATGAAACAATGATATTGATCAAACAGCTCTGTCAAATCCCTGCAGATATGGTAATAATAAAAGATTTAAACTGTGGAAAAGCAAAATATGTACACCTTTGAGATACATGTTGCTGTGTAATTGTGCACCATGGCTATTTTACAATTTCTCAGAAGTTGGGATGAGTATCTTTAGGATTTTATTGATGTTCTTTATCGACACTCTATTGTTCTTTTTCATCACTAAATAATTGCCTTTTTAAAAATATATTATTTAAAAAAAAAATGTAATGTTTTATTAAGTAAATGTTTCTAGAGCAGCAAAAGTAACAGCAAAGTCACTAATATCTCACCGGAAACACATCTAAAATTATGAACTCCCTGTCAGTCCTTCCTCCTGTCCTCCTCCTCTTCCCTCTGCTGCTGCTGGTAGAGAGGAGCTGGTTTGTTAGCAGCTGAGTTTTTAACAATGTGCCATTTTTTAATGTAGGTGGCAAACTAAGCTAAACAATTACTAAAGACAAAACACAGCTGTGGTGGATGAGAGAATCATTGATAAAGTATTGGCTTTTTACTAGCATAGGTTTTATTGCACCACGTACTTACCCTAATGAGCGTAGTTGTCTACAACTTCAGTAATGTCCAGTAATCTATGTGTATGTGTGTGTGTATATGTGGAGTGAAGGCGCTCTGCTGAAACACAGAGGAGGGGAGAGGCTGCAGATCAGACAGTTGTTATTGTTGTGACCTGGATTGGCGGTGATTGCTACAGTGCATGTGAAACTCAACAGAAATGAGAAGGATACGAAATAGCTCTCTCATTAACTACTTCCATACACTATGTATGTAGTTTTCTTATGTTGTCATATATCAGATTATGTATGATGGGCCACATGGTGGTTGCTTCTGAGCCAGATGTGGTCCGTGGACCGCCAATTGAATAGGACTGTTGTACACTGTGTGTCGTCTTATCTAATGTGGTTCTTGTTGTAATTTTATAGGGCTCAGCACTCTTCCCTTTGACCCAATCACCAACAGCGACTCTCTCCACTTCAGCAGCTCTAACAGGCCTCTGGTGACAGAGTGTCCTTCCCTGGAAAACACTGCTGAAAATGGCAAGAAAAGGAAAAGAACTAGTCTTCTTCCAGGTACTGACAATACTACCTCACTAAATACCAACATGACACTATTATTCCAGTTTTGCAATAATGCTCCAATACTGTTATGTGTTGTGCTACATAGTTCCCTACCTGGAATTACAGTTGCTCACTTTGTCTGTTTGGATGTTTGCTGATAAAATATAATTTAAATAGTACCAGCATCAAATAACTGCCGGTGAGATATAAACTATAATCCTGTTATTTTGAGACAGTCTGAAAGAGGTAGCCTTGTTTGGTCTTTGCTGTTTTTGATTAGCTTGCTGTAGCCCGCGGCTCTGCTTGTCTGGACTGTTTGGAGGTCACACGGCTAAAACCAGGAAACTGCATGGCGTAGATTTCACATCCGCCTACCTCTCACCATGCCAACAGTCTTGCCAAACAAAACTCATGCCTTCAGCTGTCTCATGCATACTGACCTGTTAAACACAAAATACTGTAGCGTTATCTTTGTGCACATGCAAGCACTGTAGTCTCTGCCTGTGCGTGTGTGTGCAAACGCTCACACATTGAGCCTAATTTTAATCAGGGCCAGTGTGCTGTCTAATTAAAGGAGGACTTTCTAATTAATTGCATTATGAGCAGTAGAAAGAAGAGGGCCCTTAAGACAGAGAGGTGTTACTCCATGTTCTCATCTGTCAGGGCAACACTAATTGGTCTGGATTTACAATCTGGCAGAGATACACAGGGGCTCCAAATGAACTAATATCTGTACTTGCCGGGCGTTGGTGGTGCTTCAAGTCTATTATGGCCTGTGGAACCTCGCACTGGCCAGCTAAATGTCTAATTTTTCAGTCGCCAACAACTCCATCAAAGACAATATCTGTGTGTCCTTTGTGCTATTATAGATTTAATCCCCAGAGGTGGAGATAAGGTAGTCTACCTGGGGAGAATCTGCGCATGACCCATCTTTATTTCAGTCTTACCTCTGGTGATTCCAATTATGTAAGGTAAATAATGTTTCTCACCACTCAGCAACAGTTTTGACCTTGTGAGTGCCATCCCTTTAAATCTTGAACAAATAAAGGTTTACTATTACAGGCAGCTGAGATTTGTATCTTATTTCTCCACAATGATAGTAAAGAGCTAATGAATATGATAATGTTTTCCACACATCTACTCTATATTTCACATCTACTATATGTGCCATGCCTCCTGCCAAATGCATGGCGGGATTTGCTCAAGCCCCTAGAGACACAGTAAGCAGTTTAAAACAAAGATGAATGGACAAGCAATAAACAGTTTTTACATTAAGTCAGTATTAGGACTGGATGATATGGATAAAATCCTGTAACACATGTATATAAGTATATTTTAATATAATAAATGTTCTGAGGGTTAGGGTTAGGTAAATGGATAAAATAACTAAAGAGGAAGGTCCGTTTCTGGCTAATCCAGCAAATAAAATACCTAACATTTCAAGGTACCTTATCTCATTTATAAAAACATCATATAAAAATAGTTATTTAAAAGTTAAATCTTGTGAGGATTTAATGGTAGGGTATTGATATTTTTGTTGTCACTTCACAAATCAGAAATACTTTATTGATCCACAAGGGGAAATTCTTGTAACACGTGCAATTCTTGCACACTATAACTGCAGTCAACGTCATTACTAAATAGAGGTGGAAATAATGAATCACTTTCAAAGACTTGTACTCACCGACCATGCATCACTTTTTTCAACCCATTACCTTTCAAATGCATTTCAGAAGTGTAAGTGAATGCGTCACTTTTCATAGTGTGCCCATTCAGACTGTCTTCAGTATTTTGTTCTTTTGGTTGATATTTCAAGCTGTAATGTTCAGTTCAGCCTATAACAACCACTGTTTATAACACTAATAGCTCAGCAGCAAATGATTTGTGCTTTCAGTCACCAGTGAGTTTGGCTCCACTGCTATAAGCTGCTGATTCGTCCAGTGACAATAGTGACTCAGTACAATCAATTCAGTTTGACCATTCATTGTTAAAGATTTGTTCAACATGTACTGAACTCCAGTACAAAAGTGTATGAAAAAGATGTATGTAGATGATGTAGAGATGTAGTAAGGTGCGTTTAACAGAATGTTTCACAGAGACACATAAAGGATGTAACAGAGGGGGACACGATACATAAATGTAACGAGTGATGGGTTCTGTCAATATGATTCATGGGGAGGTTTTTAGCATGGGTTCACGGGAAGGGCAAGGTATATCAGAGAGAACTTTGGAGTAGATTTTAGAGTAGGACATTATAGTACAAAGCAGTGGGTATTTGAACAATGCAGTGAGCCCAGACTGATAATTCATATTGTTGCAAAAGTGAGCACAAGGTAATCATTCGTAGCGAGATAACACTGTATGAAGAAAACCTGACAATTACATATTCCTTACACAGTGGAATTACATTTCCCTCCACACCTGGATAAGTTACACAAAGTAGTTAATTAACTACTACTAATTATTAACTCTTTTTGAGAAGTAGTGTGTGTGCTGCAACCTGCAATCTCCACCTAGTAAACCTGATGGAGGGGTGGACAGAATTTTACAGCACTGTTTAAAATGAAAAAATTATGAAAAATTAAAGTGATTGAAGTAGAAATATGGCCCTGCTTAACAGCTTGAGGGTGCTTCTTCTCCGTTTTACCATTTTCACTTTGTTGTTTAAATGTCCCCTTCTTCCCATATTCTGTCCCTCCTTTGTTCAGAAAGATGAATTTGGAGGAGATGTAAATCTGCCGCAGCAAATCCAGTGAAAATAAGTTAAAGGAAAGGTGCAGCAGGCATATTTATAAAAGCGACCTTTGTGACAACAGCTTCAATCGGCATAGAAGGCAGAGTCCCAGAGTTACAGTACGCTATGACTCACCACAATTTGTGTATAAAAGAAAACAGATCAGCTTACCATGGTCTTCACTCTTTATTTAGACACATTTGTTATTTATCAACTGCAGTGTTCTCTGGAAGAGTTCACTTTAGCACTGTCGCTGTACTGACTTCTCAAATCCACAAACAGACCACTGGAAATAAATAAAGTCTATTTTGTATATTGTGGCTTCAATGAAAAGGTGTGTGTGTGTGTGTGTGTGTGTGTGTGTGTGGTCGTTTAAGATTAAAGCCTGTCAGAAAGCCATAAGATCAAAGCCTTTGTGGAGCACATATCTGATCTGTCACTAGAAAAGCCACCCAGGTTTTTTCCTTCCCTCTTAGAGATAGAGAGCAAAGTCACATACATTATCTTTCTTTCTGTCAGTTACACAAGTTATGAACACTATTATAATAAAGGTGCCATTAATGCTGTATAAGCGCACTACTATCATGATGACACCTCTTACTGTTTCTCTGCATTTATGAAGAGCTTGGAGGAAAACCAACAGGAAAAATGGTTTAGGTGGTTTGATGTCTTCCTTTTAAGATTGTGTATGTATGTGTGTTTAGTATTTTCCTTGTGGTCAGTGTACTTGGTACAACACATTGTTATGGGGGACTGTGTCCTCTTGAGACGAATCAAGAAACTCTTTAAAAATGCCTGTCAAAGCCATTGACACTGCAGTCAGGGGAAGTCTCAATGCCTTCCTCGTGAGATGCAAAACCCCTTGCACAGTCTCATCTCCTCAATCAATTTTCACTTCTAACCTGACTACAGCAGAACGCTTGCTAGCTATTAAATTGTCTTACAGGAGGTGAGCTTGCTCTCTACCCAAGGCATCGCTGTAAAGGCTTGTTCCCCAATCCATACTGGTTAGCCTAGCCATAGATATTTGTTTAGCCTTACTAACAAATACCCTATTCCCACAACCACCTAACACTGGTAGCAACCCGCCTCTTTAGCTCTCTAACTCACAAGGACAGTAATGGCTCCGGGAAAAAAGAAGGGCTCTCCTGGCGAGCTAGCAGAGCTAGCATTGCTAACAGGCCCAAGTATGGCCCATGCCAGAGCATGTGTGGGATCACCCTCTCCGAGAGGGACACTCACAATGATAGAGTATATCCTCCCTACCGCAGAGTTTAGAGGCATGGAGGAGGACCCAGATGACTTCACTGTCACCGTGAATAGTGTACTGTCCAACGATAAGCTGTTTCTTGCCGCTTCAGGAGGTTTCTATGAAGGGGATGCTGAAGCTGGAGGAGAGGAGGATGGAGAAAAGCATGGCCAGGACATCAGGGCTGTGTCTCTTATGACCAAGATCGACGGCAACACCCAGCCTTAATTGACTTTTGCCACCAATTGGCAGAGTGCCTGGAAGTGTTTTCTATTTTCTTTCCTAACAGCCTGGCGAGACATGAGTTGCCTGTGTTCCCTGACTTGAGCTCTCACGGTCCTGGGCATCCCCCAATGCCCTGCCCTTTCTCCTCTTTTCTCAGTTCTGTGACCATCCACCTGGCCCCTAAGCCCGCTCTCCCTAGCAGACAGTAAAGATTCTCTGCCTCTCAACTGGAGAATATATACTGTGCCCAGGGGCTAACCGCTTATGCACTACAGCCTCTATGCTGCAGGCTTTCATTTCCCTCCCTCAGGGAACTTCGGTTATATTCACAACCTCCAAAATTACAACTTTTATTGTCATGCAGTACTCTGCAAGCCTGTTTACTTAATTTATTAGGTTGGTGGAAAATATACTGGTTGACTTGGATGCACAATTGTACATTTCTGAGACATCTAACATGAATTCTTTTGGCAAAATCTAGATTTTAAAGGTTTGCTATTTTGCTTATACTGTTAAAAGGCTGCAACTATTGCTAGTTTTCATAATCAGATATTCTACTGCTCATTCTGCCAATTAGTAATAGTAATGGGATAGGAAGTTATTTGTATTTTTAGCTATGCTAGTGGCATGGCAAAAGAGATGACAATGTCAATCTGTCTTTCAGTTCATCCAACTTTTAATAGCTTTGATCTTTTGACTTTAAATCTAGCACCACCTTTGGTTTTATGACTAAATACCTGCACACTAATGACTGTACTTTGTGTTAACACGATAAACTAAGATAGTTAAAAATAGTAAACATTATATCTACTGAAAACCAACATGCTACCATTCTCATTGTGAACATGTTAACATGCTGTCTTTAGGATTTAGCCCAAAGCACAGCTGTGCAAGACAAGAGCCCTTAGCATGGCCATAGAATCTTGTCTTTTTTGAAAAAATATGAGAAAAATGAAGTGGGCCAGATCTCAGTTGGTCGTATTTAAATTGCACATTAATAAAAGTAATTCAAACACCTGCATTCTGCACCCATACGAACTGATTTGCATGCCACTGCAGTTCTCATTCACATTATACCCACCTGTATGGCACTGCTGGGCTTAACCTGTGTTGCTGTTGTAGCCCTTTGTTTGTGCTTCCATGCGGCTACCAGGTTACTACAGCAGCTTTCAAATTGCAATACTCCCAAAACTTCCTGACTCTGCTTTTCTCTCTTTTTCCTTTTCTTTCCTCCATTTTCAACTCGCAAGGTCAAAACACAGCATCAGTTCTTGGTGTGACAGTGATAAATGTACATAAACTTGTTCACTGTATAATATTTCCACAGATGAAACAAAACTTTGAAACACTTTTATTATTTAAATAACTCCAGTGTCTTCAGTAATAGTTTTATGCCCTACATTGTTACATTAGCAACATATTGTTGCACAGTGTGTAGTGTCTGTGTAGAGAACACATGTTTAGCACAGCAGTAGCTGGAAAGCTAATGTTAGCCCACTAACAACAGAATTCTGCAGAGTATTGTTCCATCAGGCTAATGAGAATGGTCCAGTAGTGGCAGATCAATGATTACAGATGATTAGTGTTTCCCTCTGCCAGTTATGACTCCAGTGTATATAAAGTGTAGCTGCTTGCTAACTTGAAGTCACTCCCTGAAGGGCCAGTGGCCAGATGATGGAGTTCTACAACAACTGGAGCTGTGGATTTACTGGCTTAGAGGGTCTGATCTTGTCTGGCGCCGGGTCATCTTCAGCTTCAGTCAGGTCCTCCAGCTCTCTGAGGATGACTGATGGAGTACCGACTCATTAGCAGCCATGTGGATTTAGTCTCATTAAGGGACCCTAATGGATAGATTTATCTCATTACATTTGGCACTTCATTAGATACACATACTGTAGGACAAAGGCATGTTGGCCTGCAGAAACATGGACATTCACACACACACCACCACAAGATGTACTATTTTTCGCATACTGTAATTAGAGCAGCGTAATTACCCAAACCAATGTATTTAAAGTTAAACACGGTGAGACAAACATCCGGACATCCTGATGGGAAAAACGAATACACATGAACAAGACTTAAGTTTAACCTTCTCTCCCTGAAATCTTGTTCCCACAGGCAGAATTAAACTGCCGTTTGAGCTAAATGCTACCATTAGCATGTTAATGTGCTCACAGTGACCATGCTAACATTTGGCAGGTATTATGTTTACCATGTTCACCATATTTACTGTATTATTTTAGCATATTAGCATGCTAACATTTGGCAGGTATTATGTTTACCATGTTCACCATATTTACTGTATTATTTTAGCATATTAGCATGCTAACATTTGCTAATTAGCAATAATGATGGGAATGTAATTAGTTTTGCAGGTATTTGGTCATAAACAGTATTAGACACACAAACTACATAGCTGAAGGTTGAAAAAATCCAACCTAAAAGATGTTGAGGACCACAATGGAAATAAGTTATCCTTAAATAATAATAAATAATTTTGGTGTTATCCTCGACATTTTAAGTGACTATGTATCTGTTGCAGTGTATGACCTGTTATATATTATTGATATATTAAATAAATCTAATCAAACACACCGCAGTTAAATGAGTACAGTAATTAGACCACATTCAGCTAAATAGAGACACAATTGTTCAAAGCTCTGTAAGTGTATATCCCTGACACCAATTGTTATATATTTTGAATTATAAACGTTTAATAGCTAGAAGGTAATTAATGAAGGTACCATGCACACTTTAGAGAAGAGATTTGCCTTGTTGGGTAGGTGACTAACACATTATTATCTATTCAGTTGCAAATTCTTTGTGGTTAATTTATACAGAAGTTAGATACTACACTTTTCATTATTCACTCTTGCACTTCTCACCACCGTCTCTATTCAAACAATGCAAAACAAAGACTGCCTCAGGGCCCCCATACAAACTGCTTGAATTATGCTTTTTCTATTGGTATCAGCATTTCACAGCAGTCCAGAATGGCCTTTTCTTTGCGGTTCTGTTGTGGTTAAGAAATAAAAAGCAAGTGAGCATGCAGTCAAAAAGCTGCTGGTGTGTTGGATGAGCATGACTTCACTCAATGAGTGGATCAAAAGCACGTTCATATGATGTCGTCTTGGTTAGCTTCACAAATCCACACCTGTCTTATTCAACTAGAAGCAGTAAGTGCACACTAGGACTGTGCTTTTAATCTGGAAACGTCTTAGTTGACAAGTATCCTTTGTAATGGGTTTCCATGACAGTTAAACTGGAGCACATTTCTAATACAGTATATTTTAAACACAATTTGAAGCTTTTACTGCAGTTTCTTCAGCATTGAATGATTTAGCCCAAAAAACTACTTTCAACCAAGGAGGAATAAAAGTTGTTTTAAGTGAAACGGCGGTCTCAAACACATGCATCTTTGCAAGAGCCACTATAAGAGAGAAATTTGTAAAGAAAAGTGACTGTTGTTTTTTTGTAGGTATGTGGTCACTTTATAACAATTATAGTATTTCGGTATTATTCCAAAATAATATTTAATTTTAGAATAAATTATTATTATTTATTCCTGAAGTTATAATAATTTAATTCTGACTGAGGTAGCAAATACAGTTCAAAGATCAAACCCCTTATTACCATGAGCAGTGGTGGAATATAACTGTCAGTCCATTTATTCAAGTATTAAATTGAAGTTAAGTATAACTATGCTGCTTGTACTTCACTACATTTCAAAGGGAAATATGGTACTTTTTACTCCACTACATTTTATTACAGATATAGATAGATACCAATTACTATAGCAGATTCACGTTTTTCAAAGAAAACATGTGATCAGTTTATAAAATATGATGCATTAAACCACAAAACAAAGTACAAAGTAGTTAATATTAGTTTCACCTCCACCAACTTCACCCTGAAAGTCTGCTTTCACTTTTTACTCCATTTTTACATGTTGGTATTGCTACTTCCTCTTAAATATCTAAATACTTCTTCCACCAAATACCATTAGCAGTAAAACAAAGCTGTGTTTGCATGATGTTAACCCAAGCTTTCTTGCCTATTTCCATTCCCATTTTGCAGATAAACTTTTATCAGTTGAGACATGGCATCGGGTTATAGAGTTAAATTATTAAATTCTCATTCCCCCTGTTTGTGAAAGGTAGAATTAATATTATTTTTCAAATTTCACTGGCAGGAGAAATGTGATGTACAAGATTGTCAAGAGAGTCTGTAATGTGTTTATATTCTGCAGACAGAAGTGATAGCTGTATTTTAATTCAGTATTCAGTGTTTTATCTTATTAGTGTATTTATCTGTAGGATTTTTCAGAATTCAAAGAGATTACTGCTTGCAACCTAAATCACCTTTATTTTTTTACCCCCTTATTGCATCTCAGACAGTGAACATTAGATGCTTTTTAATCTTTCCAACACAAGGCAGTACAGTATACAAACAAGGGGTGCATTTTCATTATTAAACAATCTGTTAAATTATTTTGTCAGTTAATCATTTAAAACTGTAATAAAATGTTAGAAAAAAATTATTTACTTTACAGTGATATATATAAGAGAGAACAGCAGCAAAGCATTCCCCAAACCCTCAAATGTTTGGCATTTTATATACTACTACTTTAATACTTACTAATAACAGATCAACTGTCAGAATTGTTGATGATTCATTTTCTGTTTATTATCTAATCATTTAATTTAGTATTTCTTTCAGCATTAATATAGACGATTCATGACTTAGTCAAGATTTCTACATGTATATCATGTGTGTAATGTCTCAGATGAGATTAGAAAAAGCCTCATTTAAGAAATGCAAAACAATCATGACATAAAAAAAGTCCTCAAAGTAACAACAGAATAGCCTAATATGACACATAGAAGCGTTTTCTGATTTGATGCCTCTACCAACAGGGTTAGAACACATACTTTGTTAAGGTTTGGGGATGGTTACAGTAATAAACACATGGTTAAGATTCAGGGACAATAATGATTATGCCTTAAACAGTGATTTCCCGCGTTAAAGTACATTGTGTTGACGTATTCATCCACCCCCAACTTCCTTCGTTTTATATCAACACTACCTAACTTAATCCTTCCCATCGTAATTGCTATGGCTGCTAAAGGGCTTTGTCACTTGCTGTTGATTTGGGGCACTTGCTGACATAATGGATGCTAACAGTCTCCCCCCCACCCAAAATTAAATGGTATACATCAACAAGCACATACACTTTAATTGGCTCTGCTCAATAAACGGTTGCTTAAGTCTCTCCTAATCAGACAGTTTTGCTGCGTTTGAACTTGGAAAGCCTGCACCTTTTAGCTTTGGCTAATTTTAATTAGAGGACATGGCATTATGTGCCTGTCAGGCTCCAGTATTGTGATCCATTCACTAACTACCCTTGAGTAATTTTATTTCTTTTAATATTTTCTGTATGCTGTTAAGTCATTACCATAGAGTGCTGTTTTATTTTCCATTGCAGGTTGTGTAGTGGGGTTCATCTGTGTATATGCTGTCCTGAGGTGTATCTCATGTAGGTCAAAGTGTTTTTTTTTTTAACACAGTTAGTTATTTCAACCTGCCATAGGTATCAAGCCCATCCATCATGTCACAAGTAGTCCTGATATGTGACACTCAAAGAAGCACAAAACAAATGCTGTAAAATATTTAAAGCTTTAAAGTATCACAATTAAAGTATCACATAAAGTGGCCAGATCATAATTGTTTTGTTTTCCAACCTAGCGATCAGTGTGTGTGTGTTTGTTTGTGTGAATGTCCTGATGGCTGCATGGGGACTCTGTTGGAGATCTATAGCTGTTTGTGTGAGGCAGGCGACACACAAAGTGACACACAGCTCTGACAGTGATGGATGGGAGAAACAGAATGACACAGTGGAGTTTCACAGATAAACCAGATAAAAACATGTCAGTGTTCTACATTTGTGATCTCTCTCCAAGTCCCTCACTTTGTCTCCTTTTCTTTCACAGACCCAGAAAACATAACAAAAACTCAGCTGTTGTAGACAGGAGTAATGATCAAGGGGGCAGAATTGTTGCCGCCATCATTTGAACAGGGGCTGAAGAACGGAAAGAGCTTCTCTGTGAAGTTGCATCCGGTGAAGGAGAAGATGCAAGCCCTGGAGTCCACATCATAGAAGGAAACTTGACCCCCCTCGTAATCAACAAACACCCCAACCTTTTGAGGCATCTCCCTTACATGGAGGTAAATGGCAGGTCCGGCATTGGCTGTAAACTCCTTTCCCTTTCTCAGCCAGATGGTCCAGTATCCGTTCTTAGGGCTCAATCTTATATCGCCCTTCCTGTTGATGGACTGGTTTGCAACTCCTAAATCCCATTGTGTTTTGCCTTTGACCTGGACCTCATAGTAAAACTTTCCTGAGGAGAAACCCTCCTTTGCAAGGACATTAAGGACATTATCAAACCTCTCTGGTTTGTCTGGGAGATTCCTCTTTCTGTCGCCATGCGTGACTTGTTTCCCATCTTTAGAAACGTTGAGAAAAGGATTTGCTGTGTCAGGATCTAGACTCACATCCACAGCATGCTGCTGCATTTCTTTCAAGTTGGGATCACACAGCGTCCTTATTTCTGTCATCACTGTTGTCTCCAGCTTGGTCAAGGCTCCCTGCACAGTAAACTGTTCACTGTGAATCTTCTCACCAGACCAGTCCTTAACCTGGGGCGGAGTGATGGTAAGAGAAAGTAAATTCTCAAGGAATATGAAGGTGTCGTTGGTGAGTGAAACCTGATTAAGCTGCAAGTTGTTCTGCTTTATTTTTGTAATTTCTTCCTCCAGTTCTTTAATGAAGCCTTCTGTCTCTGTTTCAATTAATTTCTGCTTTGTCTGAACTACCTCAGTCAGCTCAGCTTGGCTTTTCTTAATGTAGTCCACCACAGCAGCCATCACATGCGTGCTGTATGACAGCGCCTTCCTTGCGTTATTTTTGCTAGCCTCCACTGAGTGTTGAATCTCCTGAATTTTCTGCTGACGCGCCTGGATCATCTGATCTGAGCTTTTCATTTCTGTTTCCAGCTGGGCTCTCCTCATTTGAGCCTCCTCCTCCAAACTCACTATCTTATGGGTTTTATGGTCCCTGTCTTTACAGGACCCACACAGAAACATTTGATCCACCCTGCAAAACAGCTCCAAAGGCTCATCATGCTTCTTGCATATCCGGCTCTCCAGGTTTTCAACTGGGTGTATCAGCTTGTGTTTCTTCAAGGCTGAAATTCTCTGATGAGGCTCCAGATGCGTTTCGCAGTAAGACATGAAACACACTAAACAGGACTTGAGGGCTGTGAGCTTTGCCCCTGTACAGATATCACAGAGCACATTTCCATTTCCTGCTTGTTCAGGAGTTTCACAAGATTTTTCTTGAGCATGTGTCTTGACCTTTGCAGCCATCTGAGCAATGAAAGTGTTGACTCGAAGCATTGGTTTGCTGCAGAATTCCTCTTTACACAGTGGACATTGGAATACAATATTGTTAGTGTCCCAGTAGTCTGTGATACACTTAAGACAGAAGTTGTGTCCACACGGAATCGATGCAGGTTTAGTGAACACATCCAGACAGATGGAACAAAGGAAATTCTCCACAGCCATTAGACTACTAGCGGAAGCCATATCTAGAAAATAAAAGGTAAAAGAGCAGTAAGTCAAACCAGCTTTATTGCTGTCCATGTTTGAAATCACTGAAATGTAGTTTACACTAAAGACATGACATCAAACAAGACCAATTGTAAATTTACCTGGTGTGTGTAGGTTTTTCTAAATCTTTCAGATCTGTAAAGGAAAGTAAAAACACACGGCTCGGCTCTTTTCCTCCTTTTAGTTTCTCTTTCAGCAGTGTCGTCAGAGTGCCAGTCTCCTCCCATTTCCTTCTCTAACTGGAACAAGTTAACCCATTCTAGGCTCAGTTCACTAGTGACCCAAGTTTGTTTTTTTTCTTTCAGATCCATTACAGCTTAGTTAGAGATATAAAATGTGGCCCAAATCTTCTCTTCAAAGGCTTGTATACAGCCATATGGGCAGTGATTTATTTCTGGTGTGTATTATTCATATTATTCTTTGCACTCAGTGTTAGTGCTTCAGAAATCCATTCATGTACAATATTATGCACAAATAAAATGAAAGCTCCAGGACAGCACATGTTAAATTCTAAACAAGTTTGTGTGCATGCATGTGTGTGCATTTGCATTGGATGAGAGTGCTTGGTGATGGCATCTGCATAATAAACTGTAAATACACTCGTCTTGTGCTTGCTCTTCGCTTGCGCCTTGAGGAAACAAGGCTGTGAACACAATAGCTTCCATGCATCCTTAAAGAGCTTTGTCAGAGCTGAAATAATCTGTGTAGGTTGCCAGCTGCAGGTTTTTGTGCATTAGTAGCATTCATGAATGATTTAATCTATTTCCGTTGCTGCATATGTTTTTATTTTTTTTATTTAGTTTACAGGAAGACATAAAAATTTGCTCATGTTGAAGTGAAAAATATGTGAGTGATACATTGTACTTAACCTTTCAGTGACACTCAAGTAGCCTCCATGCAGTATTGTATGTCACTGTATATGTGTGTGTTTAAATATGTGTATGTGGGCGTATGCTGAATGCATCATATCTCAGTATACTATTATACAACAGTCGTTCATTTGCTGTGAAAATGTGAATAGCTGGTGAATCAACGGCAGCTGTTAATGAATTCAGTGACTGACAATGTCAAGACATAATGTAAAGGGAATGGGACTTTGATGATCCAATCAAATGACACTAAGATATACAGTATTTATAATTTTGTTTTTATACACAGTTGATGTGCTCAGAAAAAAGCTCCCCAATGTGACGTTCTCATCTAAAAAAATGACAGGCCACCTATGATCAGAGCTCTGTTCAGTGACATCTTATTCAAGCCTCACCTCAATGTCTTGGCCACCATGAAACATTCAAACGACATTTGGATCAGATGGGGATTCCCTTTGATCCTGGTCTGTGTGGAGCTCCAAGACGCAAGCCTTTCTTATCCTCAGGATCCAATGATAGGTTCATGGAAGGATGAGAAGAAGTCTGGGCTTTTCTTCTCCCATCTTTTTTTTCTACTCACACCTTTCCCCCTTCTAAGCCGAGCTCTCTTCCCCCCTTCATCCCTATTCTGTGACCCATTGGGCTCTCACTTGTAGCTGCTCCTCACCTTGAATACATGAATAAGAGATTAGAGGAGCACAAAGTGCTAGAGGACACTGAACTCCCTCTATTAGAAGTGAATACCTCCTGCTAGGTGTCTGCTCAGTTCTAAACTGAGTGTAAGTCTACAATAAAGCCTTGTCTCTGTAGAAATAAACAATGTTTAATGCATACTCAAAGTGGTGGATTACAGGATTAATTGTGTGATTAGATAACATCATCATCAACAAACCAACATTAGACCATAACTTGTCCACTCGATTAAATTCTCACATTTAAGAGGCTGGAACCAGAGAAAGTTTCCATTTTTGCTTGAACAATTATTTAAAGATTTAATAAATTTTCAGAATAGTTGCACATTCATTTTTTGTACATTGACTAATCAACTAATCATTGCATCTTTAAAGATCTGCATCTACAAAGTGAGGTCCAGTGAGACATTTCTTTTTATTTTACAAGTTTGGTGTGGAAGAACATGACTGGACTTCACAGAGCTCTGACCTCAGGCAAATCCAACACCTTTGGCATGAACTGGAACATTGACAGTGGACAGTCTTATAGCAACAAACATTAATGCCCATGGTTTAGGATGTTCAGTGAGTATATTCACATACTTTTGGCCATGTAGTGCTATGTAGTTATGCTCTAGCTTTTATACTAGCTGTTCATTGAAAGTTTACTGAAAAATGTGGTTTAGTAATGGCAATAGTGCTGTCATGTGTAGAATCATTTTGGATTTGACAGTGTAGATCGAAAAATTGTGGATTTGAATGAATAATGTGTTAGTCCTAATAATATATATTATATATATAATAAAGGTGACAGCCATAATTGGCACCAATGATGGTTTTGAACCCATAAGCAATGTATTTCACATAATAAAATTCATATTCATGATAACATTTCTTAATCTGACAGAATTTATTTAATACACACAAGCACAGGAAGGGAGAAATATAACCTGCCAGATTTTGTCTGTGAGCTGTATGTATGGCAGCCATGCTCTACAGTGTTGTGAGGGAGGAAGAGGAGACTCAGTCATCTCCATCATTCTAGTTTGTTTACTACTTGGTCAGAGCAGAGGGTTGTGTTATTTCCAACCCCCAGATACAATGGTTCTGGAGGGAAGATAAATAATTAGTCATGAGATGAGTTTCTCCCTCATCTGTCAGCCTGGGGAACATGGCTGCCATAGAAGAACTGAAGTCAAATAAGAGTCCTCTCCCTCCAGTGTTTTTGTTCCCCGGACACTCAGCTTTAGATTTCCCTCCTTGATAGGATGACTTTGAAACGCTCAAAAGCTTTCATGGACGACTCCATCTTTGTCAGGGTGTTAATAATTAAAAACTGTGCTTTTAGCTTCAGAAAGAGGAAGCAGAGATACTACTTTACCTTTTCATTGAAATTGCCTGGCAAAGTAGAAACACTAAACCTGAGTTGCAAGTCCATTCAGAGTACATCTTGTTTTTGGCAACACATACTATTAAAATATTCAACTGTAACATTACATCTCAGATCTTTTCTCACTTAAGATTTTAGGCTTTAGGCTAAGTCATATGAGGACAAATGGATAAATGTGAGACACTAGCCAATGACAAGTTATTTGTGGTTCATTTAGTGACACATCAAAACCAAAATAGAAAATGAATTCCCACCTGGTTGACACCACAGAAAAAGCCTGTCGGTAGTGGGATATATTTGAAGTCTGGGGAATGTTTATAATATGTCAAAGTGTGAGAAAACTCTTTGAGAGCCGAATGTTTTGTCAATTGAATCAGTGCTACTCTCCTGCATTGAAATCAGACCGGACATTTCCTTGAACCCCAGCTGGTGCCTGGAAATTTAAAGGATCAGAAAGCTTATTTCCAAATGTAAAGGCTGTTGAGCTATTCTATCTACCCTCTTATTCATTAAGCATATTGTGACTGTAAGATTTACACCACTGTCTGCCTCCAAACACCAGAGGAGTTAGTTTCTCTGATAGGTTGCTTTCACTGTTGAATTATTCATTTGTGCTATTTGCCAGACTCAGTGTCCGCGACTGAAAATTCAACAAGGACAACAACAAGACTAAATGGGGTAAAAATATTTTTGATGTTACAGAGTTTGCTGTTTGTTGAGCTTGAGAAAGCCAAAAGTCTTTTGGCCCATCATTTTTGTAAAATTGTAACATTTTTGCATGAGCATAAACTCTGAAATGCACATTTCATACTGCACATAAATGGAATGTTGACTTCTGTGGTGGTAGTACGTATTTAACTTAATTTCTTTATCTTTAACTGGGGACCGGGCCTCAAGTTATAGACCACGAAGATTCATGTTCACAAGCTTTAATTGACCCTTTGCTAAGCCATGCTCCCCTTAGTTACTGTTGCTAAGTCCGACAAACTGCCGGACCTGTCGGATTTATCACGGCGCTGCTACTGTCCATAACTGCTCTCCCTGGAGAAATATTGTCTAACTTTTGGAAAAATTTAAAAAGGAGACAAAGGTTTGCATTATACATTTTGAAGGTTGTATTCCGGCTTTCTAACTGACGTGAAACAAATAAAGACAGAAGCTAAAGCCATCGATCACAGAGTAAAAGTGATCCACTTCTTCAACTGACGACTGAGACAAGGGACAACGATATTAAGAATCAACACTGTTCCTGTACAGCTGGGTAGGTCTCTATTCACTATTACACTCCTTAAAAAGCAGTAGGGCTATTTAACCTTGCATTCAGTAGCAATTTAGCTAGCGTTAGCTAACTAACATTACATCGACAGCCTACATTTTATACAATTTTATTTATTTAATACCATCAGACCCCATATTATGATGGAGTGACTACTGCAGTTAGGAGTAAATGGTCACATCATTAGATGGGTAGAGTCCTTTTTGACTGACCGAGTACAGTGTGTTAGAGTAAATGAGTGTCTTCTCCTATTATTACTAACTCCACAAGGAAGCACTATTTCCCCAGTCTTGTTTACCCTTTATACAAATGAATGTAGAAGCAACACGCCTGAGCATCTATCTATCTATCCATTGTCAACGCTTATCCTGCGTACAGGGTCGCCGGGACGCCTGAATTAAATTTGTTGATGATACAGTAATCGTTGGTTTGATTAAAGAAGATGAGGAAACCAGCTACTGGGAGTGGGTTGAGCAGTTTGTGGATTGGTGTAGGGCAAGTTTTCTTCTGTTGAACACCAAGAAAACAAAGGAAATCATTTTTTCAGAAGTGTTAACAACACCCACCAAACACTATGGATGGAGAGAGTATTGAAATGGTAGATGTTTATAAATACTTAGGAACAATAATTGATGATAAACAATTACAGATGTTATTTATAAGAAAGGGTGCCAGCGTCTATATTTTATGCGTAAGCTGAGACTTTTTAATGTGGACAGAGATATATTGGTTCTCTTCTATCGCTTCTTTGTGGAAAGCATATTAACAATTTTTCTCCATTGCCTGGTATTTCACATTGTCACTGAATAATAACAATAAACTGCATAAGATAGTTAACATGTCCAGTAAGATTGCTGGAGAACAGCAAACCAGCATGACGACGACCTGCGAGTCCCGATTGGTGAGAAAGGAAAGATGTATCGCATGGCAAGTATGAGCTGTTACCATCAGGCAGACGGTATATGGTACGGTATATGGTACTATCCCTACAAACCAACCGGGCCCGCACATCATTTGTGCCTACTGGCATTGGATTTCTTAACAAACAATGAGATAATAAAACAGAGCTGAATCTCAGGGTGTCAGGGAGCTGCACCTTAGTCGTCTGGTTTTTAGTCTGTTGAAGTTGTTGGTCTGATGTTTGCTGTATGACACACTATGAATTTCTGAAGGGACTAATAAATATCTATTATCTATCTATCTTTTCTGGATTTGTTTGGAAAGGCAAAAATCTTACTTCTCCTTTCAACCTCTCTGGGTAGCAAATGTAATTATTACAAATGCCCCAGGAACAGCAGCTGTCTATATCTTGGAAAAATACAGCAAAAAAAGATCTAGAAT